AGTGTCATTACGAAACGCTATGTTATATAACACTCAATTAATATCATGACATGACTGCTCAAGGTTTATTAACTTACATTTAATAAGTTAATAATATAAACCCTTCATTTTTTCACAAAACACCACGTTTAGGTGGGAGGAGTTTTCCCCACTGACTTATATCATTTTCCAAATTAAGTAAAGTGATACTTAATAATTAATGTGACACAAACACACAACGTTTATGTGGGAGCAGTTTTCCCACTGATTAGGTGTCGGTTCCCAAATTATGTAAAATAACAATTAATAAATACTACAACACGACCATACAAGGTTTATAAACTCACATGAGCTATATATAAGTTTGAATATGGTGAGAATATATAAAAAGACATTATATATAACAAAAAAAGTTATTCAACATTTTTATGTACAAAAAGAAAGTACATTACCAAAAATGGTTGAAAAGCAATGTTTGAACAAGTATATGATTATTAGTTGAAAATATTAAAAAAATCAAATATTATATATATATATATATATATATATATATATATATATATATATATATTCTATGAAGTTATGTAAAAATGAGTTTAAAATCAATTTTTATTATATTTTTATAATTATTATAAAAATATAAATCAGTTTTGCTAAATTATGAAATTTGTTATATATGAAAGCATAATTGATCCCGTATTTAAGAATCGCTTTATTATGATATTATGTATCATATGGATTATATAACTTATTGGTTTCATGGATATTGTTGGTTTCACGCTGGTTGAAACCTGAAAAATGTTATAAACGCAGGCGTTATGTTGCCCAAATTTCTTCATAACAGACAATAAAATTTGGAAATATGTTAAGTCTTACGAATCTCAAATACTAAAAGACTTCAATCAATAATTATTCCTAAACATAAAAGAATTATTGGTGTTCAATGAACTTATAATGAAAAGTTTAGGATTAGGATGCCTAGACACATTGTTAAAATCCAACACACATGGGATTTTCTATATGAGATATGTTCGTTTCTAAAATCCGTAGGAGCTAGGATCATTTCCTAAGATATATGTGCTATGTTGTTGTCTACATTAAGACTGTATATCTTAGTAAAATCCTATGTGTTATAACCGTTAATCTGTATGGAACATAGAACATCAGGTATAGATCGATGGTACTGATTTATAGGGGTAGACATCCCGTCAATGTTTGCTAGCTACAACCATCGTCTGACGAGTCGAAATTAGGCATTGACGTTTCTACCTTACTTAATCCACGACGTTGATAAAATGTTGATGTGGAACTTTTAGCACACCCTTTTTTAGTGTCGGTGTAGAGGGATCGTTTCGCTGTTCGTTTATAAGCTCATTATAGATCCCAGATTCGTTTAGCTACCGCATTGAATTGAAATAGGATTTATACGGGGTTTTTGTTAACTTATACTAGTTTAAAGAGACTGTATATAGTGGGATTGTTTGACTCAAAATGATAAGTTTCATTACTAAAACTTAAGTTATATAACACTCAATTAATATCATGACACAACTCAAGGTTTATTAACTTACATTTAATAAGTTATTAATATAAACCCTTCATTTTTTTCACGAAAACACCACGTTTAGGTGAGAGGAGTTTGCCCCACTGATTTATATCATTTTCCAAATTAAGTAAAGTGATACTTAATAATTAATGTGATATGAACATACAACCTTTATGTGGGAGCTGTTTACCCCGCTGATAAGGTGTCGGTTCCTAAATTAAGTAAGATAACAGTTAATAAATACTAAGACACGACCATACAAGGTTTATAAATGCAAAATTTATGAGTTGTACATATAAACAATGCAATCACTTGTACGGAATTACAAGAGTGGATTTGGTTGTTTTATATTTTCACAAGGTGTGACACACCTTTATTTTATATAATTTTATATTTAGAATCTTTATATAAAATGCATTTTGGTCATAGAGACGATAAAATTTGATATAATTTTGACTTACTTATAGAATTATCAAATTTTATACTTTTGGATTGGAATAAAAAATATTTCTATATGAGTCTAAAATCGCTTTTATAAATTATATATTTTGTACCATTGACGGAACATTACGTATTTATAAAAGCTGGTCAACTAGATAAAATTTTATAAAATACTTTTGATTATAAAAGTACTTTGTGTCAAAATCTATAGAACTCGTCAACAATATTTTGTTGACGTATCTTAAATCATGTATTCTCAAGTTTATTTGTAGGTCGGAAGAGTTTGCACAGAAGACTTTCCGTTATTTTATTATATTGTAGTAAAAGCTTAATTGTTAGGCGTGTTTCGTGATTTAGCAACAGCCTTCAACAATGTAATTTCTATTTCGGTAATAATAGAAGATTATATTTTGTATTGTTCAATGTATGTTCACTAACTATGATAATTGATTTACGTCGTGCAACTCGGCGTTTTTGCCGGCGGCCGGGGGTGTGACACTATATAATGTTGCTAACCCTCTAGGGTTTTTCTCTAAGGCAGTTTCCACTCTATGAAATGATCCTAGCCCTAAACCTAACTCTCTTGGTGCTTTATGAGATTATTTTTGTGTATTTTTGGTGTGTTGTTGAACAAAAAGGTGGCCTTTGGTGCAAGAAGAAGTAGATCCATCCAAGTTCCTTCATTCTTTTCATTTTCTGGACCTTTGAGAGGTATAAGTCTCCACCATTATGCTTATTTTCTTTAGATCTAAGTTGTATAACTTTATGGTTATTTTGGTCCCAAAACTCTAGTGTTCTTGGAGTTTGATGAACTCCAGAATTTCCTAGTACATTATTTTAGTTTTGGAACTTTTTGGTCCCATAAAGCTGAGAGCTTGATGGAATTTTTCCAACCACTTTGATTCCTTAGATAATTAGGGTTCTATATCTAGGTTATTTGAGGTTAAGAAATGGATAAAGCTTGAAACTTTTATCCATGCATGGAATTAATCGATCCATATCTAATCTTTATAGGTCACGGTACGGGTCGCGAGGTCCAGTTGTGATTGTTTTGTTTAGTGACCACGACGCGACCAATGAGGTTTGTTACAGAGTGATGGTCGATGATGGTTGGTCTTTGATCTTGACCATTGATTGTTGACTTTTAACCTGTTTGAATTTTGGTCAAACTTGGAAGTATTGAGCTGTAGACTGAGGTGTGAGCTCTAGTTGGTATAGGTGATTAGCGTGGCTATCGTTATGAGACTTAGAGTTTTGATATCCATCTTGTAATTTAGGTGACTTTTCTCACTATACTATATAGGACACGGGGTGTCAATTTATGTAATTATAGTTGTGACTCTTTTTTGTATGTTTGTATGTTGTTAGGTGGGGCCCATTGTTCAAGGTGGGGCCTAATATGCAAAGCGTGGCCCATTATTCAGGGTGGGGCCCATATTATGTGTTTGTATATGGTATTTTGGGGGCAACGAATATGTACATGGATTTAAGGCACGATTATTGGTGGTCATGTATGAAGCAAGACATGGCTTTGTACGTAGAGAGATGTTTGACTTGTAGGAAGGTCAAGGATGAGCATCAGAGCCCTCATGGCAAGTTGAAAACTTTGGATATCCTATTGTGGAAGTGGGAATAGATTACCATGAATTTTGTTACCAAGTTACCCAATATTGCTCGTGGCTCTAACACTATTTGGGTCATCGTGAATCGGTTGACCAAGAGTGTTCATTTCATTGTTATTCAGGAGAGTTCTTCCGCGGAGAAGTTGGCTAATATCTATGTTCGCGTGATCATTTCTTTTTATGGCATGCCAGTTTCTATAGTTTCTGACAGATATGTAAGGTTTACTTACAAGTTTTAGAAACGGTTTCATGAGGATCTGGGCACACGACTTCACGTTTGTACGATGTCTCATCCTTAGACTGACGGTCATAGTGAGAGGACCATTCAGACACTTGAAGATATGTTGAGGGCTTGTATTATTGATTTTGGTGGGAGTTGGGATTCTTATCTTCATTTTTCATAGTTTTCTTACAACATGTGAAATCCCCATTTTCACGGTCATTTTAAAACTTTTTGTTTATGCTTATTTAAAATAGAGTTTATTTGTAAATGCGAAATTTGATCCCGTAAAAGTATTTCCGAAGAAATGTTTTTCATTGATTTATAAAATTTTGGGATGTCATAATTGATACAAAACATAAGCATAAACAGGACTTACAGTATCTTAGACTATCAGTCTACATCTCCTTGAATCTCTCATCATGCATCTACCTTTCTACCGCTACCTGTGATACAGAGAAGCTGAGTGGATCAGGTTGGGAAACATGGTGATTACATAGGGTTTTAACCTACAATAATGTAGTTAACATGTTTAATTATCAAACAATTAACCCGATTACTCATCCCCGTTTTTTTTTTCTTTATTCATTTCTAAAAGCCTCTCCAAAGGATCATCACCTACGTCGTGTTTCTTATATCATCATTGCTAAGGATTTCTCCTAGGATTTATCGCCTAACATTGCATTTGAGATTTTCATTGCTAGGGGCTTCTCCTAATGTTCATTGCCTATCATCGCAATTTATATTTTTCATCGCTAAGGGCTTCTCATGTGGGTTATCTCATATCATCGCATTGACAATACTGCTTCGGGGATTCCTCCGAAATACATGTCAATAGAGTACATCGCATGAATACACGGTTCGTACATCGCCTGAACTTGTAATTCATCACCTACAAGTTATGAACTTGTCGGTGTTCCACTAGACTGTTTAAATTAGTCATTATTCGATATCTATACTCTGGTATATGACTACATCACAAGCGTCGCCGGCTTCCAGTTTGGTGAATATTTTGTCACCTCCAATTTTAGTGTCGTCTTCTGATCCCGTGTATTTCCCATGGTTAAGAAGAATGACTTTGTGAAATTAAAACAGGTGGTGAAGTGTATGAAGTATCATTGAATGATTTATCGGACGAAAATGTGGTCCGTGTATGTCTTATATATCTGTTAGAGAAAGGTTTTAATAGGTGGTTGCCTCCTCAGCCTATGATAGACCAGTATTTTGCTTTTGTATCCAACCTTGATGAATTCTAAATGTATCATGTTATTAATTTATAACAAGTGAAGATCCCATGCTCCGCATGGGTTAGAACGACTTTTGTCTTTGCTTAATAGACATTTTACATATTTGTTATCAATGTACTTAATCCCATGCTCCATAGCCACACCCACCTTCCGATCCTTTACCATTTTCCCTCCGAGATCAGAAACAGTAAACCTGAAGAAGAGTTCAAAAAAAAAGTTTACCAGGCTAGAAGCTATTGGAAGCATTTATCAACATTACAGTAAAACATATACTACGTTTAAGGGACAAATGCGTAAATTCAATACAGAATTACCATGAACAAAATTCACATTGTTGTAATTTTTGTAGAGCATGAAGTAAGTGAAACATGATATTGAGGATGCTACTTTTAGCATGTAAAATACATGCATATGATAGTACAGGAGAGTAAAGGGATGAAGTAGCGGAGGTAGAGAAAGAGGGGAAGGGAGAGCTTGCAATTCATTTGTAAATATCACAATGATTTGAGTTAATAACAGGGACAACACCACCAAAAGACTGAAGTTCACCAAAATTGCACCAGGGGCAAAATGGACAAGATGTTGACCAAAAATAAATGCTTTCATATATCAATCCATCAATAGAATGTTATAGGTATCCCTTAAAAACTAACAAAAGAATGATAGAAACAACAACCACCACCACCAAATAACCCAAAAACTAAACAAATAGGGCACCGAGGGCAAAATGGTCAACACATGAAAGGTTGCAATAAATTTAAACATCAATTGAATTAAATGATATGGACCAGCCATACACACACAACCATCATGCTTCTATGCTTATTGCAAAATAGAGATTAGCCATTTGACCGAAAAAATAAGAATATTTTTATTTTTAAAAAGTTATTTTTAAGCACTGAATGCCGTTATATTAAATTATTTACAAAAATGATTATTTCCGCTTTTAATTGATGGAAGGCAAGCCACATTAGATGCCTACAAATTTAAATATCCAATTATTTTTGCAGAAAAAAAACCAGTTCAAATTAAAAAAAAAAAAAAAAATTAGGCATTCTATTATTAAGATGCAAGCAATGAAATAGGAAATCCAAAAATGACAGTGACAATACCTGCTTATAAGAATCCCCAGTCAAGACACCCACGTGTGGTTAAAGACGTCACCCTTCTTTGTTATGTTCTGTCAGCTGCAAATATTAATTGAATAATATAATTATACTATACATTAAAATAATGGAGGTATGAATGACACAAATATTACAATAATAAAACTGCATCTCTTAACTCATCCTATGAACGACACAAATAATACAATAATGAAATAATGTTTATAGCCATAAAAATCAAATGAAAATATATAAATACATCATCAAGCAACCTGTGTAGCTCATCTATAGCTTCCACCACACGATTTAGTTTATTTTCGTTGTACTCTTCACATTTCAATTCAATTGAAAAAGTGGCACAATATGGACTTTGGATCCACCCCTCATGAAGATTGCAACTAATGAGATAATAAATCATTTTAACAAATAAAATTTCATTTGACAAACATGTTTCTGAATGCTTCCACTTGGTAGCACCCATACTGCTCTTACCACTTACTTTACATACAAAATTGAGCTCTTTTCGGTTTAGGCATATTCCATCAAATGGGTGGCAGGCAAGCTGGAAGTGGCTTAACCCCTTTAGCTATATGAACTACAGCTTCTTGATATGAAGGAATTATACTATCTGCATTTTATTGCTAAGAACAATATGTAAAATCCATGTTTGGTCAAAGATCTTCTCATTCAGATCAGTTGGCATCTTGTAAAAGCAAACTCCTATCTTGCTGCAAAATAAAAATAGAAATCATAATGATTTCTCTTCATCCTTCGTTTTCTATTCATAAAAAACGCAGACTTCATAAAATCAAACAGATTAATAACAAACCCTATCCAAAGATACCTTAGCAGATTTAGGGGGAATTATTTATCCTTGTAGATCCGGTCGCCTCCCCTTTTCTGTCGTCCCATGTTCCTTAAAATATTAGAAATGGAAAAAAGAAGGAAATCAACATGGGAACGTATGAGAAGTCCAATTCTCAAGCAGAAATCAACAGGAGACATTGGTACCTGGTAACTGTGACAAATAGAAAGACCACATATGCAACCCACCAAATGACCACGTATCCGATCAATCGTTGATGGAATGCAATCTTTGAAGATGGTCTCCATCTCCATCTAGAAATCACAAATTTAGGGCAAAAATTATAGTAGTTGATAGCAATTTTATCAAACAGTTTGTGATCCTCATAAATGAAATTAGTTTTTTTCACTCATTTAAGAATAGATTGATTGACCACCATTTGTTTAGATTTTTTAACAAAGGAACACTAAAACCAGAACCGATAAACCATTCTGAAAATGATAACTAAATCGATCATACCTGAACATATTTGGCCGATAAAAGTTTCACCATCTCTGTCGATGCAGCATCTTCCCCGATTTAGGTTTGGACCTCTATAGCCCGTATTTGATCTCCACCTGTTCTGACCTCTTCTAAATCGATTGAATCAATCCTAAAAGAAATTGGCAAAGCTCAGTTAAACTTGATTTCTTGGTCAAAATAGAACAACCGAGGAGGAGTACAGATATCGCCGATGTTGTCGACCTCATCACCGGAAACATCGATTTCGTCGCCGGTAAAATACTCACCAATGGTTCGTATGGTGTGCTGGTGATAATCGAAAATATCCGGCTTAAATCGGTGGTTCCAGTGGCGTGGTGGTCATAATCGCCGGATAGAACGAAATCGTCTGTAAGGTGGAACACGTAGAAGAAAAAGAAGTTGTGGGAAGCAGTAAATCTATAGGTAATGGGGTGGAATCGGCGAAATTACATACCCGAGTCATGATTCGAGTTCTGATTTATGATTGTTATTGTTTCTCTTCCTGGTCTTCAGTGTATCCCTCTAGAAGACAAGCGAAATACAAACGAAGCTTCCATAAGTCATCAACATAGGAGAAAGTGTAGATAGGGCGCATGGAACTACCCCAAACGACTTGCTTTAACTTAGGAGGGAGTCTTGAAGAGCGGGTGAAGTGAAGAAGTCGATAGCAAACGGATAGAGAATGTTCGATTGCTGTATTAGCTAAACGGATGAGCGGTGGAGCGGTGACCATGGCAGAGTAAACTAACCCTTATGAACAGTAACCCTGGTCAGGTAGTACTGTTCATAAGGGAACTCAAAATTAATATATACTAGGAAAGGAAACGCAGGGTTGGTTACGCGAAAAAAAAAAATGGACAAAACACAGAGTTAATTCAGATGTTACATTCCATCTGAAAAAAGAAGATCATTCATCACCCTTGTATCTTTTGGGTTTCTTCTCAAAGGATTCTATGTACTGCTTCATCACATATTCCTAATGATTATACATACTATCCCTACTTGAAACTGACATCAAGAAACTGTGGCCTGGATGTAAGCAAATTGGTCCAAGGGGGCTGGAGTTCTAACCTGCATCACTGTATCTTTCTTCCTTAACAGCAAGATTCATTTTTGTAACCAAATCAAGCTCCTCAGCAAGTACATCTATGGCACTGTATAATGCAATTGTAAGTTGTAACAATCTTAATGACATGGAAGGGTATTTTTGGGATTTTAACTTTACAGAAACAGGAGAAAGGTGGAGGGTATACCTGTCTAAAAATCTGTAAGCTTCACTAATGAGGGCAGCAAATTAAGCCCATGGGCGTCGAATGTCTAGGAACAGGACAGGTTGTTGTTGAATGTTGATTGCTAATATAAGTCGAATCATGAAGAAGGTATTACATGCTAATCCTGAAATGGCTTGGTGGCACATGAAGAAACGTCGAGATGACTCACCCAGACACACATGAGGAAGTCAGAGTCCATAAAAGAACCCAATGGGTATCCGAATGGTGCAGCCTAGGGATGAGATTTAGAACCGGAAAACCGGACCGGAACCGGAATATATAGAACCGGTTCCGGTTCCGGGTTTAAAAATTGGCTTTATTAGGGTTCCGGGTAATCCGGGTTTGGGTCCATCAGGTCCGGGTAAACCGGGTCTAAAAACTGGAACCGGAACCACTTTTAGGACCGGAACCGGTTTTTGTGAAACGTTTAAAAGATGCATATCTCATTCGTTTCAACTCCGATTGACATGCAGTTTTTTCCAACATGTACTTTAGAGTTTGTACATGACTTTAGACTATAAATTTTCCATTTTTAGTTTTATATTCATTGACTTACAGTCTCCCAAAGTCGAGATATCAAAGCTGGAAGTTTTTAGTTTTTCAGTTTTTTTGTATTCGGTGAAAGTTTTAAAACATGCATATCTAATTCGTTTGAAGTCGGATTGACATGTGGTTTTTTCCAACTTGTAGTTTACAGTTTGTACATGAGTTTATACTATAATTTTGTCATTTTTTGGTTTAACATTCAATGATTTACAGTCCTCCGAAATCGGGATATCAAAACTGAAAATTTTCAATTTTTCAGCTATTTGTTTTTTTACTTTGTATTATGTGAAAATGTTAACAGATGCATATCTCATTCGTTTAAAGTCGGATTGACATGCGGTTTTTTCCAGAGTGTATTTTAGAGTTTGTACATGATTTTAGACTATAATTTTGTGTTAATTTTGGTTTCACATTCAATGAGTTACAGTCCCCCAAAGTCGGGATATCAATATGAAATTTTTCAAAGTTCAACCCACTAAGTAGTAAGTAATTACCAAAAAATTCCGGTTTTTCCGGGTTTTCCGGTTCTAAACTCACTTTATCCGGTTCCAACCTACCCACTTTGATGTTTCGGGTTTTTTGGTTCTAGACCCACTTTACCAGGAACGGAACCGGAACCGGTTCCTATATACCGGTCCGGTTTCCGGTTCTACAAAATCTCGTTAACCGGTTCCGGGTTTTCCGGGTCCATCCGGTTCGGGTTTGGACCCACTTTCATCCCTAGTGCAGCCTACACAAAAGAAAAGCATCAGGTAACCTCAAACATATTGAAAGCAGCCAAAAAAAAATATAAACTACACAAAACAGTAAAGTAAATGACAAATGAGAACCTAAAACTTTTGAATACTATGATCCATAAAATAATTTCACCTGTGATGTGAAAGGTTAGCAGTAATCTAGATTGGTTAACATGTAACCAAATCACCAACAAAAGATTAATATATTTCAAAATAAAATCCAATAAAAGGAAAATCAGTATAAAACTTACCGCAATGTGTTTTCATTTGAAGAACAGCAACCGTAAACATGTTTACGGTCGTAAACGGGGTTTATGGTTCTGAGCTTACGACCGTAAACTGTGTTTACGGTTGAACAGTTTACGGTTTGTGAGTTTCCGGTTTATGTGTTTACGGTTCTTGAAGCTTGGTTTACGGTTTATGAAGATTCAGTGTTTAAGATTCTTGATGTTTATGATTCAATAACCGTAAATGGAGTTTACGGTTGACAGCAAACTCCCAGAAACGATTCCCTTCACTACGTAAACACTAACAGCAGGTTCGAACTTCAAGGATATCGGTTGAAATAGCCCAAAATTCGATTGAAAGAAGATTTAACACCGGTTCTCGCTCTGATACCAATTGTAAGTCCCTAATCTGCTTGTGTATCAATCAGATCCGTTTGATGGTGCGGAATCCCAATCAAACGGATGATGTCAGATCAAAAAGAAGAGAAGAGGAAGAAGAATATGATGAATCTTGTATGTATTGATATGAATGAAGATCCGGATACAAGATTTACACACACTAACACACACTCTCTTCTCTCTCTCTTTCTCTCTCTAGAACACCTTCAAATGCACACACTTAAGCTCCTCTAGTGTTCATCAATCTACTCCTCACCCCTTACACTTATATTTATAAATAAGAAACATGGGCTTGGTAAACATGGGCCGTAAAATGGGTTTACGACCGTAAACCTGTTTACGGCCGTAAACACAACCGTAAACACCCATTGGACCGTAAACAGGGTTTACAGCCGTAAACTTGTTTACGACCGTAAACAGGGTTTACGGCCGTAAAACTTGTTTACGGCCGTAAACACCGAGCAGTTTACGGTTCCAGACATAAAATTACATTTTCCTAGAAAAGCAAAGTATAAACCATATTTTTGACCCAACAATCTCCCCCTTGGTTTATAGCTTTCTTTTCTTTTCTTAATTGACCCAACAAGCTCCCCCTAAAAAGTAGCTGGCTTTCTTGATAATCTTCATTGGGAGCTTTGGCTTCAGCTTTAATCTTCAAATTCTTCACAGCTTCAAGATGAACATAATGAATCTTCAATAATTGACTTCATCTTGAGCAGTTAGGCATTTCTTCAGAATTTGGCATTGAACGCACATTGGGTGAGGAGGCTTGACATACTGATTCTTGAAAGATAGCGCTTTCAGCTTGAGAATCTTTAGAGAGAACATCAGAGAGAACAAATCTTTTGGATCACTTCAGCAGGTTCAAGATAGCAGCAGACTGATTGAGGAGGCTTCAATGCAATCCGTCACATAATCTTCAAGTGTAGCTTCACCTTGCTTCTGGAGTTGAAAGATTGAATGTTGAAAGAATAATCTTCATTTCTTGCTCCTTCGAATGAAAATTCTTCGATGCTCACAGATGAAGCCTTGGCTCAGAAATCTTCGACACAAACTCCATGAGTCTTATCTATACCTGAAATCACTTTTCAAGACAAAACTAAAAGAAAATTTAGCACACAATATTTTTGGGTTTTTCATATTTTCTGAACAATAAATAAAACTGAAATAACACTATTTTTTTAAGTTTTTTTTTTTATTTTTTATTTTTTATTTTTTTTTTAAATTTTTAATTCTCCCTTAATATTTAAATTAGAAGAAAACTATGAACAAATTTAACAAAAATAAAATGATATCTAACTTTAAGAGTGATTTGGGATCAAAGTTGTTAGACAGCCCTAATCCACTTTTCGGTACCTTTTTATCTTCACGTCTTTGTCTGGTCGATCGCCGGTATTGTTGTCCACTTAAACACGAAAAATTGTGACAGATTTAGGACATACTAATAATTGTAAGACAAAGTGATCATAAGTTCCTAGATACTATATCTTAAGGACCATTCAGCTGACGACGACCAGGGATATTGTTGTCCACCTAAATTGAGCAGCGAGATCTATAGACAATCTGTGAGTGTTCAATTGTTAATTGTACTGGAACATGTTTCCCGCTTCCTGATATGCCCCAGTAATCAAGGACTTCCAGAGTACTCCTTACATCGGGTGAGCAGACAATCATTAAGAGAGAAGATAGATTCAGATTATTGTTAATTATAATTTTAGAGGGATTGAGAAGTAGAAGGTTGCATATGCTGTGTACCAGGTCGGATTGTGAGTCACGCAAAGGAGACAACATATGGCTAACAGATAGGAGGAATTTCATAGATATAATTTGCAGAGAAATAGATTTGCATATGTTGCAGTCCAGGTCGGATCTCTTCCAATCACGTAAAGGAGGCAACATATGACTGACAGATAAGAAGAGAAAGAAAACAATTTTCTACAGACCTAACTCATCGGAATTTACCAGTCGCCCCATCAATACCGGAATTAAGGACAAAATCCGTACATCGAGGAAAAGTTAATCCACGGTTCCAAGTACGGGTTCATTTAATGTGACGAGTAGATTCCCATATATATCTCCCTGCTCAACCTATCCAAGCGTCGTATTGTCAGGCTAAACGGATCTAACTAGGTCAAGATTTGTCAAGACTATGAATTTCTTAAGTTCAACTCTGCCTAGTCAAGTCCATTTAGAATCTTTCGTGCCTACCAGCGCATCAAACCCAGAGCATAGACCCTTCAACTTTGGGTACGTTACGCAGACTCAGATTGCCTGTTATCACATGATCATATCACTTCCCAAAACATCTCACTCAAACTCATTTCATTAACCAACATATTTTTGGATTTTCTGATTTTCTAATTTTTGTTTTGTTTTTATTTCTCCCCCTAAATTTGTGCATAGGAGAGAAACTTAAGTAAATGCGCAAATTTAAACTATCCTAAAACAAAAAATAGTCTTTAAAGCGAATCAGCTTAAGAAAAACTCAGGAGTATAGAGAAGAAAACTCAAACCGTAAGTCACCGATTGAATTTGCATCCAGAAGGTCTGAGAACAGCACGTGTAATCTCAGAACAGATCCAAAAATTCTTCACATCGTTAAGCACTAACCCCATGTGTGATCTCTTCCTTTCTTCCTTTCCTGCAAAGGACACATACTCTCAAATAATGTTCTTAGTGTTGTACAGTTGAGAGATGCCTCCTATCATGTGCCAGGAACAGCCACTACCAACAAACCGAAGTCTGATGATATGCCTCCATAGCTGCTCCGACACAGAGCGGGATCAGTTGGTCTTTGGAACCCAGTCCATTTTGAAACTGGGTCGACCTTTGTCATCCTTGCACGGTACTCTCTCCCATGACATATCCTGTTTATCACAAACAGAAGATGAAGAAATATTAGAGTCCTTAGTTGATTTGGGAGAGTGAGCCTTTGGAACCCATTTGTAGTTGGGTTTAACCCATTTCTTTTTCGATCCGATGGGTGGCTCAGTACTTGCTTTTGATCTTGATGTC